TGATGAGAGGCCTCGATATTGAAGATGATCCAGTCATCTAGCGGAGGATAGATGACGACCACATACTTTTCTAGACAGTCCAGTGGAATGCTAGTAGGCTCGCAACCTGTAGGTGTTTATTTGAACTCAGTGTTCTCCAGCAGTTTTCCATCCCCCTCATGGTTGCCTTATTTGACATAAATTGCTGAGGAACCCCCAAAGCAGTGTTGTCGCCCTGATGAAAATCCTTAGGCTAGGCCCCTTATAATAGATGCCTTAGGGACGTAAAGTGAGGATAACGGGAATGGGTAATCGGGTTTAATGATTTGATGAAAATAATAATAAACTTATTTATTGTGGGTTGAAAACCTTATGTGCTCACCAGGCTCCCCAGCCTGACCAACTCAGTTTCTTGTATTACAGGTAGTGACACAAGAGCATAGATGCGATGATCTGATGAGAGATTATGGATTATAGGCCAATAGAAATAAATAGAAATGTTGTAAGGCCTATGTTGTTTTTGGTTTATGCTTTTGATCTATTGACGATGACATCCCGAGTTTTGTAATGTAATGAAAATACATTTCTTCGGAAATGCTTTGATAAATTCTTATCTATATTTTTTTGGGGAACAAATTCCGCAACACCTTCTTTAAAAAGTTACTCTGATTTTATTGTAAAGCATAAACAAAATCGGTCTTTTCTGACCGTGAAATTGGGGATGTCACACACGCTTCATTAATCAATGATAATTTACGAGACACCTATTGCCACCCTTTATAAGTCCATATTAGTGTGCCGGTTAACCACACACGCTCCACTAACGACTTTCATAAAATGCAATGTGCAATTTCATGGACTAGCATCAAATTCACATTTTTCTAAAGTAACTAAGATTGGGAATATAATAAAAACATTTAATTACTTTATTTATTCCATTATACTTATTAATGAAAATTAAGTGTCCTATCAAACCCGTTCGACTAACGACCCTCCACCAATCGAAGAAGCGGTAGGTGAGAGTGGACAACCATTCAACTACCATTTTATAGGCAGTTTCCTTATACCCCCTAACATATCGGCTTCGTAAATGATGCGTGCTAGCGGTTCGACTAACTTGTCTTATATGTATAGTAAATATTTAAACTTTTAATATTACATATAGTATAAGGGTGTATTTTAAACATTTCAAACTACTAGGGTTTTTAAATTCATTTAAAATTTCGAAAAAGGCCTATGTTGTTTTTGGTTTATGCTTTTGATCTATTGACGATGACATCCTGAGTTTTGTAATGTAATGAAAATACATTTTTTCGGAAATGCTTTGATAAATTCTTATCTATATTTTTTTGGGGAACAAATTCCGCAACACCTTCTTTAAAAGTTAGTTTACTCGATTTTATTGTAAAGCATAAACAAAATCGGTCTTTTCTGACCGTGAAATTGGGGATGTCACACACGCTTCATTAATCAATGATAATTTACGAGACACCTATTGCCACCCTTTATAAGTCCATATTAGTGTGCCGGTTAACCACACACGCTCCACTAACGACTTTCATAAAATGCAATGTGCAATTTCATGGACTAGCATCAAATTCACATTTTTCTAAAGTAACTAAGATTGAGAATATAATAAAAACATTTAATTACTTTATTTATTCCATTATACTTATTAATGAAAATTAAGTGTCCTATCAAACCCGTTCGACTAACGACCCTCCACCAATCGAAGAAGCGGTAGGTGAGAGTGGACAACCATTCAACTACCATTTTATAGGCAGTTTCCTTATACCCCCTAACATATCGGCTTCGTAAATGATGCGTGCTAGCGGTTCGACTAACTTGTCTTATATGTATAGTAAATATTTAAACTTTTAATATTACATATAGTATAAGGGTGTATTTTAAACATTTCAAACTACTAGGGTTTTTAAATTCATTTAAAATTTCTAAAATTAAAAAACAATTTTAATTTAAATTTTAAAATTTAAAAACTTTGATTTAATAATTATCTATTAATTAAACCTTTAATTAAATTATTAAATCAATTAAGGATTATCCATTAAATTAAACAAATTAATTTAACCTAATCCCTTACCCCCTAGATTTCGAAAATTAGGAGCGATAATTATAAGACCCTATAATTATCTAGTTAACAATTAAAAGATAATTACCAAATATAACTACCCTATTCAAAACCCTAATTTCGAAATCCATGACTTGGGGAGGAAGGCAAGGCTTTCAACCTTGCCTAATTTTCGAAAACCATAGGGTTAGGAAACCCTAGATTTCGAAAATATGGAGGCCAAAAGAAAGGGTTTAAAAACCCTTAGCAATTTTTGAAAAACAGGGTTATGAAACCCTAATTTGCAAAATATCCAAGGCCTAGGGTTTAATTGTCATAAACCCTAATTTTGTCAAGTTCAAACTATTGCATCAAATCTAATTGAAAACAAAAACCAACAGCTCTGATACCACCGATGGGTTTTAAGCATAGCAAACAATCCTATGTGTGCATGCAACCCTAATTGTTGGATCTATGTTTTCTCTATTAGACATACAAGTATTAAACACAAAAACTAAAAACCCTAGGAGGCATGTATAATTTTCGAAATTAACATAAAATAGGGTTAAGATACATACATTTATTGTTATGTAGTAATAACAATGATTTCCTTGAAGATCTTGAACTCTTGAGAGCAAGTGTCACAAGTGTAACACCTCTAATGGCTCACAAACACACCAAGCAAGAGGATGAAAGGAGAGTGAGGATGGAGGAAGCTCAAAGTTTCGGCTCTTATAGGGTTTCACAAAGCATGGCCGAAACTTCAAGGGGTGGGGCTCATTTTATAGCTAAGGTTGCTTAGTCCCAAAGCTAGGGTTTGCAGGTGGAAATCCTAATTTCCAACTTAAGGCCTAAGCAGCCCATGAACTCACCTTCTCAAGGCCTTGGACGAAAATCCCTAGGGCCTCCCTAGAATTTTCGGCCAACCCTTTTCAAGGTGATCCAAGAGCCCAAACCACAACTATTAATTAGTTGCAAATAAGCCCCTGTACTTTTAATTAATTTCTTTAATCCCAATATTAATTCCAAATTAATTTCTGATTAAATATTAATTAAACAACATGATTTCTAATTAATATATTATTTTAATAACATATTAATAAATCATTTTATATACCAATTTATTATTCCAAATAATAAATTCAACCTCTCTCTCCAAAAGTCATCATGTCAAGCTGCTAGTATGAAGGCAACCCAAAAGGACTGTGCTACCATCAATTCAAGTATATATCAATTATAGTTATGGGCTTAAACAAACCAAATAGTTGACTTTTACTCGGATCATGCAAGCGATCGGGTAACACCTTAAATCGATGCACTTTCAAACGCCTATAAAAGCCAAACATTGCCAAAAGGAAAGGGGTAAAATTTTCTAATTAAGAGCAATTTTATACCATCACCTAATCGACATTTAACTTATGCATCAGAGAGCAATACATGGGTGCAATCATCAATATCGCTTTCTAACGTAGCATTTGTCTACCTTTTGTAGAGTGTCTTCCCGATTGCATTAGAAAATGACCCTTCTCGATCAACTAACATGCATTCGGAATGCTACCTAACAACATCCTTATGCATTTTGTATGCAAAAGTTATAAAAAAAATTCCATAATTTTACAAAAATAGCCTACTTTTGAATTAAAAAATTATGACTTTCTAACATCCATATTAGTAATGTAATATGTCTATGGCTAGATGTTGTTATAAAAAATACAATGAAAAAATAAACTAAAACATAGTCGCAAAAGTTATGAATGATCAAAATTGATTTTTTTTTATTTTATATTTTTAGCTAGTAATCTACTATGGATTTAAGAAAATATGACTTGTCGACATTAAAATTTGGAGTGTAATATATTTATAGAATTTGTTTGTTACAAATAACACAATGAAAAAAGTAACTTGTCATTTTTTTATTTTTTTTTTATATTTTGTGAAAAAACCTTAGAAAATTTGGCTATTATAACATGTTTTCTTCAATCAATTACAATTACTTTTTTTAATTTAGGTAAAATTTAAAAGTAAATTTTATTATCATATATAATAAAAGCAACTAATTATGAAAAATATAATTTAGGGGTTTGGACTTTGGTCATAATGCTTTGCATGTTGGTAGCTTTTACCCCCTTATAGAAAATATTACAAAATCGTCCCTATAATTTATAGAAAAGGTATATGTTTTTATTTTATTTTAGAAATGGTTCATGTGTTTAAACAGTATGCTCTTTGAGTTTGAGATTTGGCTACAAAACTTTTGTATGTTGGCTGGTTTAGTTCATATAAAGAAAATAAATTATAAAATTGTCCATTTAAATTACAAAAAATGTTTGATGCAATTTTTTTACAATAAATGGTCAACGTATTTTAAAAAATTATAAAAACTGGCCCGATAGAAAATTTACATATTACATTCCCCGTAAAACATATTACATTCCCCGTAAAACGGATATTAAAACTTAAGAGTTTACAAAGACAATTAAAAATTATTCGTGATAGGGGATGAGACAATTTCTAATTTCTAATAATTGATAATATATAAAATAAAATCAGAAATAAGATCCTGATTTTGTGAAGACCTTGTTGCTTAACATAAAAATATAAATTGAAATATGTTATTATTTGGAACGATTTCCATGTTTGAAAACCCAAAATAAATAGAAGTTGATAACTTAAAAGACCGAAATTGGTTAAATTTAGAACCGGAAAAGATTTATTAACCATTTAGTGTTAGGTGTTGTTTGTACGTGGGCCCCTTCTAAAACAGTATTTCGGCCGCCTGCTTTGTCGTCTCTCTCGTCTCCGTCCACCACCGTCGTTCTTTTGTGTTTGACTCCCCCCCTCTCTCTCTCTCTCTCTCTCTCTCTCTCTCTTATCCTTCACTACACCACCTCCTCAAACTAGCAAAAAAACGCTCATCTTTCAACTCTCTCTCTCTCTCTCTCTCTCTCTCTCTCTCTCTACCCGCCCTTCAAATCCCACTATTTCTTCTGTGTTTTTTTCTTTTTTTACATCAGACAAGTGTCTCATCTTGTTGCAGAAAAAACCCAGAAAAAAAGATCAGTTATGTGTGGTCAAACACTCATCTTTTTCAAGATCTTTCGAGTGTTTCTAATCTGTTAATCGCTCTTTGTTCTTCCAGAAAACAGGTTTTTTTTTCTTCTTCCGAATCTTGAAATCTCGATTCATTCATGGCTGGTAGTAATGAAATCAACGCAAATGAAGCCAAGGTATAGTTTCTCTTATTTACTTTATGATCTGTCTTCTCTGCTCCTCTGTTCTTTCTTTTGTTTTTGTCATGTTCCTCCCAAAATAGTTAAAAAAAAATCTTTATTTTATATGGGTTTTGATCGATTAATTTGGTAATTTTTGGGGTTTTCTTTTTCTTTGATTTGGGTTTAATTTTTTTGTGTCTTTTCCTCATCATTACTTTTTTTTCTATGTTTTTTGATCGATTAATTTGGTCCTGTGGGGGTTTTCATTTGATTTAGGGTTAAAATTTGTATTCTTTTTATCATGATTTACAAGCGTTTTCTAGGTTCTTGCCAGTTGTTTAATTTCGATCATTGAATCTCACGTTTCTTTTATTTTTTATGGTATTTAATCGATCAACTTGGTAATTATCCTTGATTTTCATCGTTGTGATTTGGGGGTTTACCTTTTTTTTTTTTTTTTGACATTTGTTTATTTTCAATCATCAAATTTCCCAAATTCTTCATGCTTTCTGATTATCCATTTGTATTTGATCAATCTGGTGTGGACAAATGTTGATCTTCTGGAATATATTTCGATTTTTTTTAGTTGGAAATAATTCTGGTTTTTGTTTTTCTTTTTTGATAGAAAGTAGTTCCGCTTCACACATGGATCCTAATTTCCAACTTCAAGTTAGCGTACAACATGCTCCGGCGACCGGACGGCACCTTCAATCGCGAGTTAGCGGAGTTTCTTGACCGGAAAGTTGCGGCCAACACCGTTCCAGTGGACGGCGTTTACTCTTTTGATGTAGTCGACCGCGCCACCAGTCTCCTCAACCGAATTTACAGATGCTCCCCGCTGGAAAACGAATTTTCACGTCAACCCGGAGCCGGAATCTTGGAACTCGAAAAACCACTGAGCACCACCGAAATCGTCCCGGTAATAATCTTCTTCCACGGCGGAAGCTTCACTCATTCCTCTGCTAACAGCGCCATCTACGACACATTCTGCCGCCGTCTCACCGGACTCATCAAAGGCGTCGTGGTTTCAGTAAACTACCGGCGGTCACCAGAACACCGGTATCCTTGTGCTTACGAAGATGGATGGGAAGCTCTGAAATGGGTTCATTCAAGATCATGGCTTTTAAGTGGTAAAGACCCTAAAGTTCATGTTTATTTAGCCGGAGACAGCTCCGGCGGCAACATAGCCCATCATGTGGCGGTTAGAGCGGCGGAATCCGGCGTTGAGGTGCTTGGAAACATATTATTACATCCGTTGTTTGGTGGAGAAGAAAGAAAAGAATCAGAAAACAAATTAGATGGGAAATACTTCGTAAGAGTTCAAGATAGAGATTGGTACTGGAGAGCTTTTTTGCCTGAAGGGGAAGATCGTGATCATCCTGCGTGTAACATATTTGGGCCACGTGGCATCAGTCTTGAAGGGGTTAAATTTCCAAAAAGTTTAGTGGTGGTGGCTGGATTAGATCTTGTTCAGGATTGGCAATTGGCGTATGTTGAAGGGTTGGAAAACACAGGGCAACAAGTGAAGCTATTGTTCTTGAAAAAAGCCACCATTGGATTCTATTTCTTGCCTAATAATGAGCATTTCTACACGTTAATGGAGGAGATCAAAAGCTTTGTGAGCTCTTAATTAACCCTTTTCTGTTCATAGAAGAAAAACTCCAAAAAAGAAAAAGACTTTTTTTAACTGTTCAACTACAGAAGAAGAATCCATACATAACACAAAGCTTTTGACATTTTTACTACTACTACTACTACTACTACTACTACTTTTACTGTTAGTCTCTTTTTTTTTTTTTTTTTCCTTTCTTACCCCCATGCTGGTGTGTAGTTTATATGTAGTTTTGTTGGGTGGATGTGATAAGAAATTAAGAATACAAGTGTGTGTGTGTGTGTCCCTCCGGCAGGGGTAAAACGGTAATTTTCATGTGGGTCATCGTGGCTTAAGAGGGATTATTGGCAAGAATCCTCCCTTGTGAATTTGATCAAGATGGTCATTGTTACTGAAGCTAACATCAGCAGGACATGGATGTTTGAACTTTGAAGGGAAGAAAGCATCCGTGGATGGTTTTTTTTTTGGGTTTCACCTTTACCCAAAAAAACTTTGTAATATTACTATTATTATTATCTTTCTTTTTTATATATTATATTATATACTTTTGATAATTGATCTGATATAAGTATATAAAGGTTTGTTTGGTTTCCATTTTTATGAAAAGCCTCATATTTATGGCTCTTTTGCATTCCACATTTGTCACTAGCTAGATTTCTTGAACTTGTATGTATTTTTCTTTGCGAATTATAACCACAAGACGTAAGTTTATCGAGTCAAGACTTTGATGGTTTTTACTCTTGATCTGCGTAAATATGATTATGTGCCCTGGTTTTCATTGTTATAATCTGCAAAAACAATCCCAAGTTTGTTAATTTCTTGATTATGGTAGTTTGTTGCGTCCATGGTTTCCTTGTGCTTATGAAGTATGTTTCTATATCGTTTGAATTCATGTTCTTTATATTATTGCAAATAAATCTCAAATAAGATTTCAACTAATAATCATCATGAGTACGTTTCATCTAATCGCTTTGTTCTACTTTATTGAACTAAACAAAATATTACAAATTGTGTCTTATTGATATCAGTTTCCATCAAATATAGTCCACATGCTATTCCAATTCCATCGTGTTAGTCTAGTTATCGATAACAAAGGGGAGGCGACTAGTTATAGTAAGCCATCGACGGAGGAATCTATGTTAATGGGTTGAAACTTTTTACGAGGCTTTCCAAAATTTACAAATTAATGAAAAGGAAAAGTTGCATACGAAACGATTGTTGTGTGTGGACCATTAAAACTTAAAAGCAATGGAAAAAAAGACATGAGAATTTGGGAAAAGAAATGATTGGGCATATGGGGACAAAATCCAAATCATGGATTTCTTTTTCTTTTCTTTTTCTCTTTATCGTTGATATTTGTTGAAGTCTTGTGTGATTGCTTCTTTTATTCATGGGGTTTGTTTTGGAGTTTGGGATAATTGCAACTAACAATGGAAGCAAGATTTGGCTTTGTGTCAATTCCAATGGAAAATCAACACTCCTCCCACTTGTGGTTGGGGGATTTGGATGCAACCTAGGCTAGGGGCCACTTTTGGAAACCACACTTTCTTTTGGTTTTCAGACTCCTTTTTTTTTTTTCTTTTTTTTTTTTTTAATGTTTTACACCACATTATAATTATTTGTTTCCTGGGTCCAATTTATAAATATGAATTTAATATGTGTGAATATTTACAAGGGTTAAATATTTGTCTAAGGTTTTATCTTTTCTTAATTTAATCAACATGGTTATTAATAGTAATTTAACCATCTTTCATTAAAAGATGTAATCTTTCATCTATAACATATTTAACCACTTGTCACATACATTTGCAAGAATAAAAAGAATTATTACATAAACAGATAAAAAAATTGTAGAACATTATTACATAAATAGGCATTTAGCCAACGTTTCGATTAATGATTTGCATATGTTTTGGTTCTGTAATAAAATACAGTTGTTTATTTCATATATATGTCATTTTATTACATTAATTGATAAAAGGGTAAGACTTTGTTGTATAAACTAACGTTGAACCCTATGTATATAAGTGGTAAGCATGGTTCATACTTCATATGATGTTAGAGTAGGTTTGCAATAAAACAATACGGCCTTTGTTTTAAATTATGAAAAAGATGGTAAAGATCATAAAAAACAAAGTTACCAAAAAAGGAAGAGCACTAAATTGGAGTTTGGATATACTGCAAAAGTGCAGATCCACTCCCTTGGTTTTTTCAAGCCAATTTTTATGTTTTTACTTTCATGACAAAATTATGATGAGAAGTTTTGTTGTTCATTTGGAAAAAACATACTTCTAATATGAATGAATTTAAATAAGTTAGACAATAAGCATAGTTTGTTGAATTGTTGATGCCGAAAGACAAAGATACTATCTTCCTTTTAAATTATAGATAATGACAAAGATCGTTAAAAACAAGTAAAAAGACCCAACTACTAAAATGATGTTGAAATTACTACCAAGTGACTTCATTTTCCTTGGTTTTCGAACCCCTTTTAGTGTTTTTACTTCTTACTTCTTAGACCGGATGATGTGATGCTGATGGCACCACACTCCACATAAGATGATGTTGACACTTTTGTCATCTTTGCTATTTTCAATAGAGGTAAGAGTGTGGTGTTGAAGGTAAAAGAGGTAAAATAAGGAGAGAGAGTGATGTTTGGGTGGTAAATGAGGAGAGAGAAAGCGGTGGAAGTATACCGCCGGCAAAAAAAACTTTAGGGTGCGGTGTTGCCGTCGGTAATCTTGTCCTCCTAGGATTGCCATCGGTAAAAATTGTATGACACCATTCAGCCTTAGGACAAGAGTAAAGTGCTAATATGTTTTTGTGAATCAAGTATAGAATTTAATAGTAAATTAGTGGGCTTTCCCACGTGTTGCGTGCGGGACGGAAGATGTTGTTTTTGTGCGTCTGTTCACGTGTTTCACCTTTATATAAAAAAAATTGGTGTCATGTTCAATGTGCAATGAGATGATAGTAAAACGAATAGAAAGTACAATGCTATAAAATAGATTTTCAATGTACAAATAAAAGTATGTTGTTATAAACTGCATTTATGCTTTGCTGGGGAAAAGAGCAACAACTACCATCAAGATTATCAATGTAATGTAAATCCAGTCTACCAACCTTTTAACTTGTGATGTTCATGGATGAAAAAAACAAGGATGTTATTTATAAGACGATGTGTGTGTGTGTGTGTTAGAGAGAGAGAGAGAGAGAGCGAGCGAGCATAAACTCACTCCTTCATATTTTTACAAAGCAATCAAGTCATAGTCTCTTATTATTAAACATGTTGTCTTGGGCTAACATCATAATCATTTATAGAAATATGTTGTTAGTATTCATAAACATAATGTCAATAGAGTCAAAAGGCAAATAACTAAATAAATGAAAGTATAATGCCTTTTATGTATTTTTAAAGTGTATGCTTTAAACACATATAATATAGAGTACAAATAATAAGCATCTTAGCTCATATATTAGTTTCAGTTCCACAAAATGTCCGATAACACTAAAATCACTAACAAAAATAATAAAAATGTATAATTATTTAAGATGACTAATGTTTAAAACAAGAAATTTTGTTTACGAATGCATGTATTGTTGCTTTTAACTTTTCAACGATTGCATCATAATAAGATTGACAAGAAATTGCAAAAATTATATTTGCAAATATTCATTTTTAAGACTCTTTTCTAGACGTGAAATCTTTAATTATAATTTCAAAGACAATATTATGTTACATATCTTTATCTTTATCGATATATATAACATGTTAAATCACTAAAGGGCTATTTGTCTGGCGGTATCAAGTGTTGTCCTCCTTCTTTGAGGTTAAAGGTTTAAATCCCGTCTGAGACATATGTGGTTGGTATTAGAAATATGTTAGATTTGCCGTTCCAAAAATAAAAAACGAGATTAAATCATTTGATTTTTTTTTTGTAACATTAGTAATCTCAAATAGTTTTTGAAAAATTTATTTGACGACTTCTTTTATTTAATAAAACCTTTCTAGAAAAAGAAATAAAACATCTAAATCCACATCACACACAAGAGAAAAATGTTTTAGATAATTAGTACATTTTTTTTTCTAAATTTAGTATCATACAATAATTTTAATTTCTTTAAATCATATAAGAATCTATAATCTTTCCAAATATCTTTAACTGTTCGAATCTTTTATTCAATGAAACAATTATCATACTAATAATAGCTAATTTTTAGAAAGACCAATAAGTTTTACGACCAAATGACTTCTAACTCAGCGGTATCCGGTGTTGCTCTCCCTCCTTGAGGTTGAGGGTTCAAGTCCCGTCGTGGACATATGTAGATTTAAGGTGTAGTTTAGGAGTAGGTTAGATTTGCCGTTTCAAAATAATAATAATAATAATAAGTTTTACGATTTTAAAAAATTTTTCTTTAAAAAAACTTACAAGTATTTCATATTTTTT